TGTCGCCGTGCTGGGGCGGTTTCAGCAGAGGCGAAGCGCTTCGCAAAGCCCCGCGTTCGCGGGGCGACAAGCCCCCCAAACCAATAAAACGACCTCAAAAACGAAATAAACGAAAAAATAACAATAAAAAAAAATAGAGGGGGGGAGTGGCCCACCCGGGGGCCGCAGAGGGGGGAAGGCCCCGACCCCCGCCCGGGGCTCCGCCGTGGGGAAGCCCCCGACCGCAGCCCGGGTCTCCGCCGTGTGTCCCCCCAGGAGTGCCGGTGCCAGCCCTTTTCCAGCACCACGCTCACGCCGAGCTGCCCGGGAAGCACTGCCGCCGCCGCAAAGCCCGCACCGTTTTCTCCGACTCTCAGCTCTCCGGGCTGGAGAAGAGGTTTGAGATCCAGCGTTACCTCTCCACGCCCGAGCGGGTGGAGCTGGCCACGGCCCTCAGCCTCTCCGAGACCCAGGTACCGGGGTACCGCCGGGAAGGGACTGGCACCTCTCCCCTTATCCCACGCAGCATCCCCACCTTCGCTTTTTCATTTTTATTTCTTTTTTTTCCCTTCTTCTTCTCCCTCCCCGCCCCCGCTCTCCCCAGGTGAAAACCTGGTTCCAGAACCGACGGATGAAGCACAAAAAACAGCTGCGGAAAACCCAGGACGACCCCAAACACCCGGGGGGCGAGGAGAGCCGGGAGCAGAGCTCCCCCGAGCCCGAGCTGCCCGAGGCCGCCGGCACCGAGCCCCGCAAGGGCCCCCCCGGCCCCTTCCTCCTCCAGGACCCCGAGGACGAGGTGGACATCCTGGAAGAGGGGGACCTCTGCCCCGGCCCCCACCGTCTCTAGGAGCGCCGGGGCCCGGCCCGGGCCCCCCCGCCTCTCCGGGGCGGCTTTGCCCCAGCCCCGGCCCCGCAAGTCGCCCCTACCTCCCCAGCCTTGAGCGGCGCCGGAGCCCAGAGGGACGGGGGGCACGGTTTTTGGAAGGAGGTGTCGATGCGGGGAGGGCCCGGGGCGAAGGCAGCGATGCCCCGGAGGGGGCCGGGGACCCCGCGGTGCCGCCGGCTTCCCCCCAGCATCACCCCGAGCCTGAGCAAATCTGGTGGGGGAGAGCAAAAAAGGCGAGTTTCCTTCAAGTTTCCCCTTCCCTTCGAAGTACCGGACTCTTCTCCGTTCCCCGAACTTTTCTCGGTTTGAAAATAAATGTGTACCCGTGCCAGCATGTTGTCGTTACTGAGAGCGGCAGGCAGGGCATGCCTCGCCCCGGCCCCCCGTAAAAACTCGCCACTCTTGCAATGCGCCAGCCAGCTGGGCGAGTGCTCGCCGGCTCCCTCCCTAGTGCGGTAGGACGGGAGTGATCCCGGGCAGAGCTTCCAGGGCACGCAGGTACTCAGAAATAATAATAAAAAAAATGTAGAAACGCCCTGCAAAGAAACAGGTAAGACCAAAATTACCGTTTATTTAATTCCGATCTGGGGAAGGGAAGGGGGGAGCATCACCAATAACTCGATCCTGCCAGGGCTGCTCGGAGCAAAGGCAATCCCAGCTAGCAGAGATTTCCTACAGCTTGGAGAACCACCTGCATCGGCAGCCTGATTCCTTCACGGCTTCCAGGTGTGAATCGCCTTCCGGATAATTTTCTTTTCTTCTCAAAGAGCCCCAGAGCTGGTCCCAAGTTTGGCTCCTGGTTCCCCCCCCCTCCACCGCCACTTGTATCTGCCCCAACGCCTCTCGGAGCTCCGTATTGCAGTCAGATAGAGCAGTCGCCGCCCGTGCTCGCTTTGCCTTTATCTTCCTACCAGGGAAATGGTTTTAATTTCCAGGTAAATTGAGATTTTTTTAAAATTTTTTCTTTTTTTTATCCTTTGGGGCGAGCTGCTGGCTGGGAGCGCGGCGGAGGCTCCGCATCTCCAGGGGAGGGCTGGGGCTTTCCTCGGTGAAAACCCGGAGGAGAGGCTGTGCTTGCTCAGATGTTGGCTGTGCAGCCCCCGCTGTACCAGCAACCCGGTGGCATGTCCGTGTCTCGTTAGGTTATTTAATTTTTTTTTCCCCTTTTTTAAATTTTTTTTTTTAACGGGAAGTTAATTTGGTTGTCCAGTGTCGTTAGCACTTTCAGGGCAGTTTGGATTACAGGGCATGTGGTTTTGTGAGGGAAAATGTGTCCCTGTTTAATATATAAAATATAGAGGATTGAAATGTGTATGTTTGCTTCCTTTTCGTGGGTTTCCCTTTATGTTTTTTACACTTAAAATAATAAAGATCACACGTTGGGGGGTGTGTGGGGGAAATACCCAATACCCAACCATGTCCAGAAAATGGCTAGTTGTCCTTTACATAGGTGTTTATAAATACTTCCAGGACAATCATTTTCATCAACAAAATTTTGCTAAAAGGCCACCCACCTCCCTAAATATTATAATTCAGAAGGTAAACCAACCCGTTTCCTCCTAAAGCCTCGGTGTGATTTGAAGCACCGCGGAGGTCGTTTTGCATTGCCACGGCGCTGGCTGGAAACGCTTCTCCCAGCTCCATGGCTCTTCCCTTCTCTCAACACCCACCCGGCTGTGGGCAGGGAGGTGATGGAAACGGTCTCGAAAACCTTTCAATTCGATGCCATCGTCCGTCTGCGTCCGTACTCAGTCGCCCACCAAGTATTTTGTTCGTTTTGCTTTGTGCTGATTGTCACCCTCCCCCTGAGTGCGCGTTTCATTAGGGACTATTAAAAGTGATATAAAAGAGAAGCTCTACCGTGATATTTACGTGATAGGTTTTTTTCTGTCCACATCTGCCGCCGCTGTTCCCAGGGCCGGGCGCTGGCACCACAGCGTGCAGTGCGGTACGGACGCCCGTCTCGGAGCCGGCCTGGTGAATTGCACCCTGCTGCGGGGGCCAGTGACTCCACAGCAGTCACTCAGGTGGACTTGGCTTTGGTAATAGGATTGGGCAGCAAGGTACTTGGAGAAACACCAGAGAAATCCCTTTCGTTTAGTGAGAGAGAATATTAGGAGCAAGTATAAAGATGTAATCATTAAAAAAAATTGCATCTGAATGAAAAGAGGTATTAAAAATCCTGTTTCTTTACATTTGTGTGTGATTCCTTTTACTTGTGCAAAGACTTGTTCATTCTCTCTTATTATTACTACTTGAGATAAAGGCATGTAAAAATACTCTAAGCTGGAAAGAACACAAAGAAAAAAGGCAGGAGAAAGTAAAAGTAGAAGATTAAGACACACAAGTGACAGAAGTTTTTGGGCACAGACATGCAAAAGCAACTTTTTCCTCCTCTGTGCATTTACACCGCTCTTTTGCGAGGCATCCAGTGGATGTCAGGAAAACGGGGGTGTCAGCCAGTGGGCACTGCTAGGCTTTGCCCTCCCAACACAGATGGAGGAGTGTGATCAGATGCTGTGTAACCCAGTACGCTCCCGCTGCACCAACCACCCCAAAGTTAGTGCTCAGCTCCGTTGCAGCAGCAGGGCCTGGGGCATTTGCACACCCATGGGCTGGTGATATTTATAGTCTGATAGTGGTTCTCGAGGGAGGGAAGGATCCTGGGATTCAGGTGCAGGCACTGGGAGTATGTCCAGGAACAGGCTCTGCAGCACAGGACCTTTACTGTGCCACAGCCCAGCCAGCGCTGCAGATGACAGCAGGCGAGGTTGGGGCAGGTAAAACCCACAGGTATCCTCACCTCAGTCCCCCAGGCAGGGCCGTGTTCGTGGGACCCCTTTAGCAGCGAGGTGCCAGGGTTTCTCCGGGGCACGGAGGTGTGACGAAGAGCCCGCTCCCCTTTCTGCCACCAGCATTATCGCACTTGGGACGTGGCAGGTCTATGAGGAAGGGTCAGAATATGAATCAAATAACACTCAAGTCTCTGCTGCCTCTCCTCTGCCACTGCAGGACCTTTCTTCTTCACAAAGTATTTATGCTGATCAATAAAATAAAATAAAATAAAATCCACAAACACCCACCTATCTTTACCTCTCTGTGGTTCGAGGCACCTTGGCTAACATTTAAAATTACAATCATGTTTAAAACCAAAGCCACTGATCGCTAGCGACCTCAGTGACAGATACACGCAGAATGTGAACCACCCAGCCCCAGGGAAGTCTCCGTCCCAGTCTGGACACTGCAGTGGCGCGCACCGAGCCTTGCAGGTAACAGGAGAAGGCTTTGGCTGCTTATCCCACGAGGTTTGGTGCAAACAAGGGCAAAAACCCCTGAGATTGAGACAGAGGAAGGAAACAGTCGCTACCTGAGACATCCCCTCCTTCGCCAGCCCGCTCCTTCCAGGCTGGGAAGCAACGCCTGCCGGGCTGGTGACAGGAGGCTGCGGTGAGGATGCGGTTTCTAGACCGTCTGGGCAAGCTTTTGGGAAGAGGTTACCATGTGTTTGGAGAGTGGAGGGGGTCCTGGGAAGAAGGAAGGGCTGGGGAGGCATTTTGTTTGTTTATTTCAGAGATTTTTCTCCTAGAATAAGTGAAATGAGTTTTTATTCCCAGGTCCTGACTTATTCAGTGACAACTGCTGACTTTTGCCTGCTCTCCCCCAGAAGCTTGAGCAGTAGGGGAGGGATTGCTTAGAGCTGGCACTCTTTTTTTTTTTTTTTTTTTTTTTTTCATGTACATGTTTGGGAAATGCTGCGGTGGAAATGGCTTGCAGGAAATAAGCCTTTTTTTTTTTTTTTTTTTTTTTTTTACCATGTACATGTTTGGGAAATGCTGCGGTGGAAATGGCTTGCAGGAAATAATTGCTGGAAATAGGAAATCTTGGTGGATTTCCTATTTTTCAAGAAATCCACTGAAGTATTGGTTTTCATTAAAATTCTTCTGTGAGTTTTTCTTGAAATTAAATTGTTTCCTGTTAATTTATTTTAACACCTAAGTGCTTAATGTTTGTTGTTTTCATTAAAGAAAATAAAAAAATGGTCTATAAAATCCTTCCATGGATCTTTGCTTTGTTTTGGTTTTGAGCATTTTCCTGTCTGTTGCCCTGAACATTTTTAACTTTTATGGGACTGGAAAGCAGTTCCAACCCAAGTTTTTTTCCTTCTACAGCCAGCGCTATGTGAAAGCAGATCAGATCTGCAGGCTGTACGGGCAGTTTCAGAGCGAATCATTTGCAAAGTCTTGCTGTTAAACACATGTGTAGCGTCAGCCCTGAAAGTACCACGGGCTGTCGCTGGGTGAAGGTGTAAATAACCTACGGCTGGGCCCAGCAAGTGATCCAGGCATCGCGTGCGCTATGTAAAATTCTTTCTCCAACTTCCTCTCGTCGTTTCTCTCTGCTGGCTGATGGACTTAGTGCAACTTTTTCCATTGGTTTTCTGAAGTGAAGTTTCTGCAGGTGTGGGCATTGCTGAGGAGCAGAGGAGGGGTAGGTGAACGCAGCGAGGATGCTGACTACAGCACTGCGGGCTCCTGAGTGTTGTGGCCTCCTGAACTGATGACTTTGCTCTTCCTCTCTTCTAGACACAATAACAAAGAGCATCACCTTAATTAACTGCAAACTGCTGCTCGGATGGTCTTGCTTGGCTTAAAAAGTGGCTTATTTCTGTCTTGGATTTATCTTGTTTCTATAGCATAATAAGCTTAGATGAAACACTCCTAGCTCCATTGCTAGAAGTGCCTTGGGGTGGCTACAGCTACTGACATAGTCAGTATTCCTGCAGCAGTAGCAATATATTGCGCTTGGTGATAAAGGCAGGTGGGTGTAAAGTGTATGCTTAAGAGAAGAAAGGGTGATCCCACAGTGGACTGTGGTGCCTTTTCTACCTGTTAGGGTACAGAGAGTCTTTCAAGGAAGGAGTTGGTTTTAACTCACGATAATGAGGTAACTCTATGATATGGGCTT